GTGAGGCAGAGCGGGTTCCCGCCGCCGCCTCCCCGCCGAGCAGCCTCGCCGCGGGTGTGCTTCCAGCCGGTCGAGTCGCGGCCCCTTGGCGCTGCTGGGGCAGGAGAGGCGGCCAGCCTCCCTGTTTCGGACCCCCCCCCCCCCCCCCCGCCCCCGGTTTGGCGTTCGTGTTACTGCCCGGGCTCTTGGGGGTACGAGCGGGCAGCGCAGCCCTCGGCGCCTGCGGGGACCGGCAGCTCCAGAGTTCAAGGTTTTGCCGTGAGCGCACACAGCTGTAGCTGTGCCTTCCTTCCTGCTGCTTTTGCAAGTCGCTGAGTTGCTCTGTATAGATGAAGGTATCGCTAAGTCCTGCTTTTTGCTCATCTTCCTCGTTAAGAGGCAGCTCCCTAAATACCAGAATCGTTTTGTGCTACTGAACTGAAAAACTTTACTGTCCTGATTGTTTGGTTTTTTTTAAACAAGTGATCACTGCTGTACTGCAGCAGCACAAACTACAGGAGGATTGGTGTTACCAGGGTATGAAACCCACTGCGAATTATTCCTATTCAGTGAGGGTGGTGTATGAAAAGGGAGGCTTCATCTGCGGGAGGAGTCTCAACTTCGTTCCCCCGGCTGGTACTGACTGCACACCTCCCTGAGGGAGTGTAACTCAGGAATTTTATCCTGTTGCCTGTTTAAGGAAAATCAGAGAAGCAGCTCCCAAGAGGGAAAAATTATGATTAGCTGGAAGACTCTGCCTGGTGGTAGAAGACCCAAAAGTGTCGGAGGAAATTTTGCTTCCTGAAAATCTTCCTGATGCAATCAACAGCTGTGGTGCTGTCAGTGGGAGAGCTTGACACAGAGGAGAAAATCTGCTGTGCCCCTCAGAGATCATGGAAAGGAAAAGCGGTTAAGTAAGCTGCCTGAAAAGTGAAGTTAGTTCTGAAGTTAGTTCCTGCTGGATTCATTTAAAGTGAATGCAAACAATCATTGCATTCCTCTGACTCCACATGGGACAGAACAGGGTTGGCTGTGTTAGCACGTAGTAGCTGTTTAATTGTCAGGCATTTGGAAATGAATGTAGAATTAATTTAACTTTCTAGGTATGAAAAACCTAGGCTTTTCCAGGAGTTTGGAAATAGCTTTGTGTAAAGGGACAGCTCAAAATTTGGATAATTTTTTGCAGAGGAAGACTGAATGCAGTGCTAAGTGTGAAGGACTAAAATTTATATCTCACACAGCTGAAGTGACTGTTAAGTGTTCTGCTCCCTCCACGAGTAGTGTGGCAGATGGAAGAGTTAAGGATGCCCTTGCTGAATGTTGAAGGCCTGCTCCCTGCCGTGGGGCTTCGGAGCTCGGGGTGTTTCCTGAGTACAGAGCCTTTCTTTGGCTCGGGAAGGCGCTTCATCCAGAGATGAGCAATGCTATTTCCTATCCCAAGGAATCGTCTGAAAAGAAGCCAGAGGGTCTGAGGAGCAGATGTAGATGAACTACAAAGATGGAGATGAGACAATGGCAAATGATGACGTATCACAGTTTAAAGGAATCTTTCAGAAAACTTGTTACCTGTCTAAAAGAAGTTGTGCTTTTTCTGTCATGTGCGACAGACCGTGTATGTTTTTCTCTTTAACCTAGTTTATTCACTTTGTGTATAGCCGTTCTTAATATAGGCAGTTCTCTGCTATGTGTGGTGAGTTTGAATCCGCAGAGGAGCAGAACAGACAGTGGTGGTTTTGAGTATTATCAGATGTTTTCAGTGATGCAGAATTAGGAGGGTCTGCAGGGAAGGTTTCTTCAACAATTTAAACAATTCTTAGACTCGTCAAACAAGTGTGAAGGGCCTGAACCTTGCTTGTCCTGTATGCCCAGAAGGGCCTGTGCAAACACTGTGATTGCAAGGCAAAGTACTGACTTGAAAATGTGCTGCCAAGTGTGATGTTTTGGCCTTGCTTGCCGCACCAATGGAAGCTTACATGCTCAGACTGCAGTTGTGGAAAGACAGAGCGTTCCCTGGAGCTACACAAGCCACCCAGGGAAGACTTCCCTTTCCTGGCCTATAAATCCTGAGCAGTGCCACTCGACAGGCAGGGATTCCCTGGAGTGGGGAGTATTCTAGGTGGCCAAGGAGGACACCATGACAAGCAAGCCCCATGGCTTGTCAGTGGCACTGGGATAGATTCCCTCCACTTAATGTTTGCTGGCACTAAGTTTTATGAGAACCTGTGGTGTTCTAATATGAATTATTACTTTAGGAAAATGGGGGCAGTCAGTGTTGAATAATACAACCCTTATTCTTGTGCAGTCTGGGTTGCATGTATTAAGTTATTCTGTTTGTTGTCTCTGCCTTCTAGTTGAGTGTTATTCTTTCCTAGAAAGGCAGAAAGGAATTACCAAAATTGTACCTCCTGTCTTTGTTTTAGACTCTTCTCCAGCTAGAAAGGTCAAGTGGTATGTTAGGCTTAATGTGGAGCTCAGTAAATTGTTCTCTTATTGGTAGGATTGCCTTTGGTAACCTCTACCCAACAGTCCAGATGAAACGGATAATGATTACTTGCAGAAATACCTTTAGCCTCATCTTGTTAAACTTTGTTATGTTGTAATCTTACTCTCTCTGGTCTTTGGCAAACTTTTTAATAAATCATTTCTGCAGTTATATTACAGTACATTATTATTGCAGCATAAATCTCCAGTGACTAGCATTCGGAAATGAGCACTTAAGGAGTGGGTGGAGTTAGACTTCTCTGCTTTGATAATCCTGTTGCCACCAGATACTTAGGCGTTATTTGCCCTTTTACTGATGATGATGTCCAGTTTGCCTTAACCTCTACACACTAATTACACTAGTGATGAAATAAAAAACTTCCTTGAATAGTTTGAAGTCCAAAACCGCAAGTCTTTGGTCTTGTACAGAGCTTAACAGTTAAGCCACAACAAATTAAGCTCAAGACATCAAGCAGAGGCAAATTGCACAGTGACAGCAAATGAGTAAGTTTTCCTTCAGGCATTTAATTTGATTATTTCATGAGTTGTGCTGAAAACCATAGAAATGGGAGCCTGGTCTTGTAGCGTTTTCTGTTAGCCTGTCTTTGCTAGCACAATATGGGATGTGGGACTACCCGGGAGTCTTATAATTCAACTTCTGCAGGTAAGCCATACTTTTGGCTGTTTCTTCTTTCTTCTCCCTGCCTGTTTTTTGCTTCATTCTGGAGTGTGAGGAAAGGGGGACCTTGATTTAGCTTCAGCTGCTAAATTGTCAGGCAGCTGGTACCTATCTACAGGCAGTGTAGACTGCAGGCATGAAGGTGTGGACTGAGCTTTCAGTGTCTCACTCCCTGTCGTCTTTATGTGGACAAGGGCTGGAGATGTCTCTCAGAACTTGTGGTAAGTGTTAGTCTCCATGTTGTCAAGACCTGCCACTGTGGAGATCTAGAAGCCCACTGCTGTGGCTTGTCCTGCAAAGGCACAAAGTCATTGTAGGCTGGTGAGAAGGCTTGTGTACAAAGAAGTCTGTTGTGTATGAGAATAAGGTTGCTTCTGAAATAACGATGCTCCAGAGGCAAGGCCAAGTCTCTTACATAGTTTTATATATGTGCTGGGAAGTGGGGTTTTTATGTGTTTTGGTTGGGTCTTTTTGAATTGGGAGTGTTTCTGTGCAAGTGTCTCAGGGGTCTATGGCCTGAGGAAGCATGAATAGCCACGTCTCATGCTGCAGCTAATGAAGACAAAGGAGGTATGATCCTCCCTGAAGGGGATGAATCCAGACAGCTATCTGTCCAGGCATAACTTATCCTGTGTGGCTTTGAAGGTGCAGGCAGTGGAGAGTGAAGTGTCTGTAGAAGGATTGTCTTAGCAGTCTTAGGGAGGAGTAAATTGTTCTGGAAGTACCTGGAGCAGGTTAATTGCTTTGTTAACCAGCTTAATTAATGAATGAGGTGTAATCACTTCATGTTTAAGTGGCTGAGACTTTGGGAATGAAGAACAGCCCTGGGGAAAGAGGAACGGGAATGACCTGTATACTCACAATTTCTTTTTGATTAAATAAGTTCAGACTGTGATTTCTTGGCCTGAAGTCAAGTATGCCAGCAGAAGATCTGGCCCATAGGGACTGTGTTTTATGTGGATTTATGTTATTTGCTTGGGGCTTTTGAGTTTTATGCTAATTTAAAAAAAAAAAATTGGGAACAGGTGTTGTTTGTTCTGTATCATAGCAGGAGCTAAGAATGCCAGCAATGCTTTCTTCCCTTGCTAGATCCTAACAAGTGATAAGATGTCCAATCTTATCCTGGCTGGAACCCCTTATACAAAAGGGGTTACTTCATTCCTCTTCAAACCCTTCTTTAAAATTTCCTCCTCTGCTGCAACATCTGCTAAAGCTGATGCTACTGAGGTCCTGTTGCTACAGCCTATCAAGCTAATTAGTAGTGTTCTCTTCACCCATGTGTATTTGTAAGGCTCTGTCTCCTACTTCAGGTAGTCATCTTTCTGGAAGTGTGAGGATGATCTCCTTGATCAGAGCATCATGTACTGGAGACCTAGAACAGAGAAGGTTCCCAGCTCTTGTGGGAGTGTGAAGGGTGGTGTGTGTGACTGTCAATTTTTTATATGAATAGTGGCAAAATATTTTAAAAGAAGAATGTTTAGCTTCTAAATTGAGTGTTTTAATGGGAGAGCAGAAAGCCCAAATGAAGACTGTATTGCGCGGTGGTCTGTGTGCTGCCTACCTTTGTGTTGGTAGGATGGCGTGGTGAATTGCAGTCACTTTTGGGTTTCCCTTTAAGTCATGTGAGATCTGAACAGCCTAGCACTCGCCCTAGTTTTGCTTCTTTTTTTCTCCTTTCTCTCAGAGCAATTTATCAAGACGTTGCCAGAATACCACATCGTTGATCCAGCACGAGTAGATGCAAGTGGGCATTTTCTTTCTTTTGATTTACACCATCACATCTCAAACGCAAGGAAGAAGAGAGATCTCGGCAAAAAGGAAAATTTGGTATATTACAAAATTAACCACAAGGAGAAGGATCTGTTTTTTAACTTGACTGTCCACTTGGGATTTCTTTCCCATAACTACGTAGTAGAAAGGAGACATGGCAACCACACCAGTGCGAAGATTGCAACTCGCTCGGGAGTTCCGTGCCACTTCATTGGCACAGTGTTGCAGCCAGGTTCTGAGTGTGGGACAGCAGCGATCAGCACTTGCTATGGCCTGGTAAGTGACGTGACCTTTACTGGGGTTCTAGGCTAATTTTGGTGGCCTTAGAACTGAGCTAGATCATTGGTATATGAGTATGGTAAGACACTGGATGAGCCATGTGATACCTTACTGACATAATGCTCTGAAAGAATCAGTTTAATACTATGGATGTCATTTGGATTTTTGGAAGAGAGAATCAGAAGGTCAAAAGTTGATACTGAGGCCCCTTGTGGTTTGCTTTTCACTACATTTTTTTCTGGTGGTCTGGACTGAACATCTGTATCATTCATATGGCTTGAAGCCATCCAAATACCCAGTCATTGCACTGATCCCATTAGTAGTTGGAGTGCCTTTGCTATGCATCTGGATATGAGGTTCTGTTTTAGTTTCCTCTAAAAGGAATGTAGCTCAGGTGCACCAAATCGAAAGTTGCAAAAACTGGGAGATATGCTTCAGAACTGCACTGCAACTTCACAAATAAATGGTAGGGTAGATGCAACCTTAGCTGGAGCTTTAAATTCAAACCTGCACCTCTTCTAGGCATCCCTCATTCTAAAGAGCATTTCTGAGGCTGGAGCTTTTACATTTCTCAATAGCTTGTGGTTCAGACTGAGACAAGGAGGTGGAAACCTTATTTTTGCTGTGCTTTGTTTTTTAGTACTACCGTAGCTTAGATTTCTCTTTCTAGAGGATAAGGCTGAACTTGTCTTGTCAGGGTGGGAAAGAAGAGACAAACTGCCTGAATGTGAAGGGGATGCTGTAGGGAGCTGTGTAAAATGGCACATGTAATTTGTGAGAGGCAAAACGCAAAGGGTTTGTGGAGTGTGCGGGCAGAGGTGATGAAATGTATGCATTGCGCATGTGCTCTAGTGCCTTGATCCTTGAGTGACAGATGATAGTATTTGAAAGTGTGTAGAGCAGTACACTGATGCCTTTTGGCCAATACATCTCAGTCTGCAACAGGCTTGGGACCGATGTTTCATTCCTGAGCCGGAACTTAACACCAAGGTGAGTGTCTGTAAAGTACATCCTTTCCTGCCAACCCATCAATATTGCTGTTGAGCAGTATGAAGCTTTCAGAAGCTTTGGAAAATCAGTGGGTTACAGAAGTATCTTGGCAATGTACAAAAAGCAACATGAAGACAGCTGTGATGTAGATCAACTGGGAAACTTTGGAATCTTACACAAGTCCTTTTGGCATGTTGCCTGGAGAAACAGACCATTGGTTGAAGTTGGAAGCTTCAGTCCCACAGACATGAAGATAGGGATTTTCTAAGTAATTATTCCAGTGGGACCAACTTATCAAAACTTCCCTGAAACATGTTATGGTCATACAGGGTCAGTAAGGAAAAGGAGATACGATGATACAAGTAGTTCCTTTGGTTGGTTTGTCATGTGCTTTACCAGAATGTCTTTGCTAGTTTTCATTAGGATGAGAACTTGAAAATGAGGTGCTAGGTCTTCATTATGCCTTCTGAAGTATTTAGTCTGCAACAAGGATTAAGAACAAATACTCAGATTACATTTTAAATTCAGCTTGGTAATATTCTTCAAAGTGATCTTTTAATTTGGGTTACAAACTTTATGAGGTTTACTTTGATTTGGAGGTTTTTGAAAGAACGTTTGCTAGAATACACGCTTGGGGATTTGTTCTTTTTGACAAGACACTTGTATCAGAAAAATACTGTTCTGGTTTGGTATTCCCCCCTACCCCAAAATGAAACTTTGAAAATATAGAATCATAAATTAATTCAGGTTGAAAGTGACCTCTGAGGAAAAACATGATGGTTTTGATGCAATGATTTTCAAAGTCCAGAAGTAACTGCCCTGAAGAGGTTGCAGTAAGAGTTGGGTCTGAATCTCTTAATTCCTCTGAGTGCCACAAGCCGGGGAAAGGTGGTTTAGCTTGCCTTTCCCCTGAAAGTTTTCCAAAAGATCCAGTGTCACATGAAAACATCTATTAATGAATAGTTTTGCCAGCATTGAGAAGTGCAATCTGGTTTTCAGGATAAAAACCTGACATTTCTGAAACTGTTTGTGGTGGTCTGCTGCATCCTGAGCTAATGGTAAATTATTTCCACCCTGGAGATCCCCAGTTTTTTACACTTCAGCACCATGTCTGTTTCTGCTTTTTTCTTTTTTTCTATCTGGGATGTGTTGTTTTTCTCCACTGAAAAGAATTTTTCTGTTTATTCTTAAGAGGGAGGGAAGGAGAATTGAGAATAGGTAAACACCATGGAATTAGAGCAACTTATTGGAAATACTAAAACCCTATCCTATGAGGAGAAATGGTAAGCTTGTTTACTGTAGGAGATTAATTCTAAACTACGTGATAAAAAGTTAAACGAAACAATGAATTGCACAGGGCGAGTTGTTAAGGTGGTTGAAAGGTGCCAGCTTCCCAGAATATGCTTTGGCAGCAGTGCCTCCTGCACAGGTACTCACCTGTGACAGCCTGGGTCAGGACTGCACTCTGAGTGTGTGCTTTGGCAAATGGGTCCCAATAAAACTTAGCTTCTTAGCCCACCACTGCAAGCTGGCACAGTGCTGACGTGCTCAAGCCTCATAATCCAAGAGCTGGGAAGAACCAGTATCTTAGCCTTCAAATACGGGGAAGATACATCCTTTCCTGATGCCGTTTTGGCTTGACAGCTCAGGTACGTTATAAAATGATAAACATATTGTGCTTTTTTTGTTGAGATGGTCTTTAATGGTCTTAATGAGGCATGGTAATGAGTGACAGGAAAGTGTGTGATCCCTAAACTGCTAGTTTTTGGCTTTCTTAAGGATAGGAGCGCGTCAAAAAATTTATAATACTGGAAAACACTGATTTGGTTAAATAAATATGTTGTACTGGAATATCCCTTTTGTTGATATTTTTAGTGGGAAATGGTTGAAATGTTATCTTGTAATTTTGTCCAAGTGAATTGCTTAAGAATATGTCATCTTTTGTACCCCCCCCCCCCCCAAAAAAAAAAATAAAATTGGCCTGAAGTGGGGAAAAAAAAATCCTAGATATGCCTGTGGGAGGGGAATCCTAGTTTTAGTCCTCTTTCTGGAATGACTTCCTCTCATGTGAAGTCTATCTGATTCATATTTGAAAGTTCCTGAATTTCCAGGATAATGGCAGTGTACAAGAACAAAACAAAGATGTGTGGTGTAGATTTGTGTTCTGTCATAAAGATCACTCACACACAGCACTGGAAGTATAGAAAACCTAGAAATGGATCTTCATCTCCCTTGTGTTTTTACTTTGAAATAGATTCCTACTTTCATTGGCATTACATGGGCATCACTCATATAACAAAGATACAACTCTTACTATTCGTTTTTATTCGTGATACTCTTCAGAATCAAATTTCTTTTGCATAAATCGAGTGGATGGTGCTGAGATGTGATTTTCAGAGGGGCACCTGTTTGACTAAATCATATTGACAAATGATTGAAAATGAAAAGTGACACTTGCAAAATGTGGGAAACAGGGCTTTGCCATCAGTGCTTTTCCAGGTTGCCAGTATGTTGCTTTTTCAGCTAGATTGTCATCATACTTAGGATTTGAAGCATTTCCTTAGCTGTTTTGAAAACAAAGTACGTTTTATGTCTTACAAATTTCATTTTCCTATGTATTCATATGTTCCCAAAGTGGCCTGCAAGGGGAATAACAGAGTGACAGATTTGAGATATAAGAATGTGGTGGACAGTCATTGTATGACATTGTTCTTTTTTAAAAGTGTAAATATGTCTCTATTTTCAGAAATATATATGGAAACAAATGGCTAGTTTCATGAAGGGATTTGGGCAGAATCGGACAAGAGGATAAAGAAGACAAACTAGCAGATGTCTGAAGGAACTAAGTTGTCATTTCCAAATCCATTTTTTTCTAACAATCTGTATATCTTTGTTTCCCTTTCACGCAACATAGGTCATGACCTTCTTAACAGGTTGAAGAACATGATGCTGTAAGCTCTGTCTCTTCTTCTCAGGCTTAGTTGTCTAGTTAAGTCTTTTGCACTGCTGGGTCTTGTAGAATAATGCATGAGACTGCATTAACATGGGAAGATTTGGGCAGACCTTGCTGTTTATTTTGGGTCACAGTTGGAGGAGGAAACCTGAGAGAGGAAGTCACTACTGGAGCACCAGAAATGGATCAAACTGTGGCACTTGGGAAGAGAGCAGACATGAAATCTCTTAGATACAGGAAAGTTTCCAAGAGGAAGGAAAGGGAGAAGATAGTTTTGGTTTTATCTCTCTCAGTGGAAATAATACTTGGATTTGTCTTGGCAGGCTATTTAGGGCACACTTATAATAATGCTTTATGTTTCCAAAGTGCCTTTCCACAGGAGATTATAATGAACTTTTCCAAGTACCAATGCCTTAATTCTCAGATGTGTGTTAGTCCTGAGATCCCCTGTGTCACAGGAGTAGTGTCAGCTTGTCCCCTCAGTAGGGCTGGGAGGGAGCAAGGCTCAGTGAAGTTGAATGAATACTTTAGGCTTATGCACTGAGTCCTATAGAGCTGTGAAGTGGATGTTTCTCTGATAGTCTGTCCTCTTCATTAGGAACAAGGCCCTCTTTTATTCATCAGTAACACACACACTGTTTATAGTATTTTTAGATGACAGAGCATCATTAAGGCTTTGTTTCCTTGACACTTGTTTACAGTGGAGACCTGTCAATCGACAGTTGCTTCTGGTAATACTTTTATCTTCAAAGGCTATGCAAGCATCAGCATGGAAATGGCTGAAGAATAGAAGGACATTAGTATGGAAATTGAGAACAGTCTGTACACATGTACCTGGTAAGCTCCTGGCCGTGCTGGGCCTTGCGTAGTAGCACTGTGGACAGATGGTGCTTTGGCTGTCTCCAGCAGGTCAGAGGGTTGCCTCTGTCCTGGCTGGCATCAGCGTTTACAAGAAGTGTGGTTGTTGTCTGCTGCCCAGGCAACAGCAATGCAGTACAAAGTCATGAAGCACTGTTTGTTTATTTATTCCCCCTCCCCAAATCCACCTACTGTT